GGTCTTTCACTTTCTCAATTTCGTTGTTAATGGAGGTTGGTGTTGAGTGATTTCGTATGTTACTTGCTTGTGTTCTTGTGTGTATCGCTTGTTGATTGATTTGGCTCATCTTTGTATCTCGCAGTTCGTGCTGTGGTGTTTGTCTTCAGAAGAAACGTGCAATTTATGCATCCAGAGGTTTTAGGATCTTTGACCATCATTGTAGTTTTAACCTTGTTGAATGGTTTATGTCAACCTTTCTAAATTTGTAAGTGTTATCTTTGTAGATTCTGCAACATATCTTGCTTGATATTCCAAGTCTTGCTTTCTTCACCACCTATGCTCTTCTGGTTCTCTTCTGGGCAGAAATTTACTATCAGGTAATTTCGAATTAGTATATAGCTGCTGGGTTTCTTTACTTTTCTTACTGGTTCTTTGGTTTTGTTATGATTGGACAGGCGCGTGCAGTATCGACTGATGGACTGAGGCCAAGCTTCTTCACAATAAATGCAGTTGTATATGTAGTTCAGGTATAAATTTGTGAAACTGGAAATTCTTAAGTTTGCTTTTTGTGGGGTCATGGGCTTGATATATCTAATTGGATGTATTACTTCCAGATTGCTCTTTGGTTGGTTTTGTGGTGGAAGCCTGTTCGAATTATGATAATCCTATCTAAGATGTTCTTTGCAGGTAATTAGCTTCCATCCTTGTTCACTCAAGCATGGTTATGCTATATATCTCTTACTTATATAGTCCATACTACTACTCACCTCTCTTGCGAATTTATAATTGCATTTGCAGGTGTTTCATTGTTCGCTGCGCTTGGATTTTTACTTTATGGTGGAAGGTAAAACCTGTTGCGATTTCAATATGTACTACATTTGACAAATTTGACACTAGCATAGTTTCTATCATTACCAGTCAAGTCATTTTGACTAGGAATTGTGTTGCCAAGAGTCATCATAAATTGTGACCAACTTGCTTGCAGTCACAGTCACTTGCGTTGTTGTTCTGCTTTGATGCCTAGCTAGACTAGATTCCCTTGGTGCTAAAGCTGAGTACCATTGAAAATGACTATAGCCTTGTATTTGTGCTTGATTTTGTGTCCTTTTCTTACGGCAGGCTTTTCCTAATGTTGCAACGATTTCCAGTAGAATCTAAAGGGCGGCGCAAAAAGCTGCAAGAGGTGAAACATCAATTGTTAAAAATCATAAGTATCAAGTCTTTACTATATTACGCTTCTCGATTGTTTACCGCCTTTCTCTCTTATGTATGGTAGGTTGGTTACGTGACAACCATATGCTTTACGTGTTTCCTCATCAGATGTATCATGGTAAAGACACACACAAACACATCATTATGTTGATATCTATTGATCCTTACCTTCTTGGTTGGATTATCTTCTCTACTACAGACTATAGTTAGTTTTAGAAATAACAACTAACCAAAGCTTTTGTCATTTAATATTTCTTTAGATGTGCTTTGCTGCTTTTGATGAAGGTGCAAACCTTGATGTGTTAGATCATCCCATCCTCAACTTCATATATTACCTGGTAACCTCTCTCTTAGCTCAATCGTAGAATCTGATCATGAACATTAGCTTTATATATAAAACAAAGAAACCGTCTCTTTTCGCATTTTCTCGTTTGTAACTTGATCATGTTACTTAATTACAGTTGGTAGAGATATTACCGTCCTCTCTGGTCCTCTTCATCTTGAGAAAGCTACCTCCAAAACGAGGCATTACACAATACCATCAGATTCGCTGAAATGTAAAGACACGACAACTAATGATCAGATGAAGAAGACAAGACCATGTTTGTTATATGCTTTTCTGTATTCAATAGAGAGAAAAGCGTAAGATACAAATGAATAGATCTAAAGCTGGTAAGTCTTTTTGGTTGATGATGGGAATGAATTCGCTTAGTTTTTGGCAAACTGGGTTTTGTTCCCCTTATATGAAGGTCATGTTGTAAAAAAAAAAGGTTTTAAAGAAAAATACATGGAAGGATTGTGTAAATTCGTATGGCGTTTTAGTAGTTGTACTACAATCGAATATACCGAACTACACCAAAATAGAAAAACTGAAATGCCAACAGCCACTTTTTACGATGGACTAAATCGCCATAGTTTTTCTGTTTCTCAAGTTTCATAAACTAAGTTAAAGTGGAGGAACAAATCTAATATTTATGATAGAAACAATGTGAAGATGACAAGGAACATTTTGCATTAGCAAACATTATTACAGGGTGGCACTAATCGAACACAGCTGATTAGCTGATTTCTCATTCAGGCTAAGTCTATGTCAGCTTCTCAGATTCCTTTTTCTCTATGAGTTTGATGAAGTTGCCGACAATTGTTTTGCCTTCAGTTGTTATAATACTCTCCGGATGAAATTGAACTCCCTGTGAATAATTGTTACAAGACTTCAAGAGTTTAGTTCCGTTTTTAATGGAGGAGGCAAGAAGATACATGAAAACACTTGTGTGGGTTTTACCTGTATATGCTTGTACTTCCTGTGACGGGCAGCCATAACCAGACCATCTTCTGTCCATGCTGTAACCTCGAGTTCATCACTAGGAAATGAATCTTTTTCGATAACGAGGCTGTGATATCGACCTACAAGGAAAGGGCTGAAGAAGACATACCAACAAAGCTTTGTTTTAATTCGCATTTACGGACTTGTTATTATGGTTTTCACAAAGCCAAATGATTGAACACAGAAAAATCTGATTCATACTTAGATTGTCCAGAGAACAAGCCTTCTTCTCCTTTCTCATCATAGTGAACCATTGAGCTTTTCCCATGCATAACACCAAATGGTGACCGCACAATCTTTCCTAATCAATGTTCATTACACAATTGCATTTAGGTTGTGTGGATACCATGTTAGAACACTGATACGGGAAAATAAGATGTCTTCTTTATATGCAACTAACCTCCAAATGCTTCTCCTATACACTGCAAACCCATACATACTCCAAATAAAGGAACAAGTGGTCCGAGTTCCAAAACGGTTTGCAAGGAAATCCCAGAGTCTTGAGGGGTACCTATCAAATTTGAGAAAGGTGTTATCTTCTTCTCCAGCGCTTTAAAAAGACACACCACATAATCAGAAGAAATAATTCAGAGGCCAAAATACTGTAGAAAAAGATAACAATCCAAAATTTCAACACCACATACGCCAAAATATTTACCAGGTCCAGGAGAAATCAATACCCCTCTTGGATTTTTTCTGCAAGAGGGAGAGCATATTATAGGAATCAACAACCAATTGATTAGCCATATTACTTATTTAAACCAGAATGCCCATAGTTTCCTCTTACCTTTTCAGCTCCTCTACTGTAAGTTCATCATTGCGGTAAACTTCGAAATGGCATCCTAGCTCTCCCATATACTGTAGAAAAATATAACAATTCAAAATTTTGTTTATACTAAAGCAGAAGAAACCATATCAAGAGAACAATCACGATATATAGTATGCACCTCACACGATTCTGCATGGAGAACTAGAAGTAAGACATGATGAAATCGTATATTTGGGATATATGTGCGTTATGTGAGATATTTAGAGCAGCCAAAATTTCATGAGAAAACGAGATATTCAAACTACGAATAACCAATCTAATGTCAAAAATTGCAACTCATAAAATCACCAATTCAAACTTTGAACATGATTAAAGATTCTACTACAAGCAACAAAGAAGTGATGTATTCGATTTTATTGGATCAACCATTACTCCAGAGAACGAGGAGCTTTCCAAATAATAACAAAAGAAAAACACTATTCTCCAGAGAACTATAGTTTTTCGACAATAAGATTCAATGGCGCGACATAAAGTCTCTGATCACATTAACAAGAGAGAATCAACATTACATAGTCTTATCTATTAGCATGTAGAAACTAGATTGGATTTTGAAATAATGAGATTCTAATAATCAATCACAATGCATACAAAATGAAAATTCAGCTGCTTTTACACCAAACAGATTCAAAAACACACATAAAAAATCTTAACAGGCGTAGTGAGGATTAGAGATAGTGTTAGAAATGAAACCTGGCAGAGATTGTAAGTGAAGCTGTCGTAATTATCAATGACGATGATAGGACCATTCTGCTTAGAGGAATTGACAACAACGGAAGGTATCGAATTCGATTCCGCCATTTCCATCGAAGCTTTCGCAAACACATCTCTACGACTCTTCCCCAAAACCGAAACTCCTATCACAGAGGAAACAAAAACAGATAAGAATCGAAACTTTGATTCGAATAACGCCTCTATCTCCAAACCAAGATCAGCTGACTTACTTGTCGGATTCGTAAGAGGATTAACGAGAGAAGGGTTTAGTCGGCGAGTGGTGGAGCCAGACTTAGGTTGAAGAAGACAAGACTTGTACTGTGTAGTAGCCGCCATTGTCGGAGAAGCAAAGATCCTTGTTTGATTCCAAAAAAGAAGAGTTTATAAAAAGCTCTGAGAGAGAGATTGAGAAATTTGACAGGTGAAACGGTGCGTTTTTGTGGAACATGAACCATGTGCCTAATTAGTAGATGAGTAATTGATAAGACTCTGTTTTGTTTGGTCAAAGTCAAAATAATATTTATCTACAATGGCGGCTACACTATCGTCACGTACCTGAGCGAGAGTGGTAAGATAACGAAGGAACAGAGGGAACGAGGAAGACGAGTGGGACTGCAATAAGAACCGGCGAGAGCTCCGGCAAGAGATCCGGCGAAGAAGACAGTGAAAAAGGAATCAGAGAGGTTGAAGAAGACCTAAGTCTCAGTTTTTTAATAAAAGGCTTACGATAAAACTAGTCCACTTATTAATCAGGCCCACTTGAGCCCATTTGCTTAGTACTCGATTATAAAACTCTCGTCGTGGTCTTTGGTCTCCCTGTTTTTACTTTTTAGCCTAGACGCCGGAGATAGACGCCGGAAAGAGGATTAGCGAGAAACTCTTAAAAAAAGGCTAAATGCGATGTACGACCATGGAAGTAACGAAGTCGTGGCCCAGAAGAAAGAAGAATAAGAGAGAAAGCAAGATTAGAAACTAGAACCAAAGCTCTGATACCATGTAAATATTTAAGATTTCAAGTAGGAAATGTTGAATGGATCATGATTAAAGATGGAGAGAAAAGATAGAAATGTATTGATTAAGAAGAGAGATTTCATGAGTAGGCGCTGTGTGGCTTTATATAGAACAGATTCTAGGTATGATGGGTTACGCACATTACAAGCATTACGTGGGTTACGCACATTACAAGCATTACGTCCTCATTCTTCCTTTACAAAGCGCACACTTTAGCCAGCCTTGATACAGCTCACTAACGGTCTTAGAACTCAAGTAACTGTATTTAACATATAACTATTAATTAGTTCATGTTAAATACCTTCTTGATTAACACTGATTGGAAAGTGAAAGTTGCGGCAAAGATGGGTCCTTCAGATCTTGCGGATTTCCTCGAAAAAGTGCCGGTACGCAATGTGAAACTCTGATCCAAATCTCTCAGTAAATTCAAAATTTTCAATTTGGTTGTTTAATAGGACAAGTATCCGCCTTTGCCGCCGGTGTTTCGGCTATTTAGATTTCTCGATTACTATGACTCTGCACTTTCCGGAGTAGCATGTCCATGGCGTCAGATGTTCCAGGAGTCTAATTTGGCCTGGCTTTTTGATGTGATCGATGTTCCGTTATCTTATATTCCTGAACCTGTCTACCAAACATCAGTCGATTGGATCAACCAACACGTTCCAGAGAACTTACGCTGTGGCTTTGTATTGTCGACATTTAATTATATTCTCCGTGATTTGCTTCCACAAGGTGTCAAGGAAGAAGAAGCTACTTATTGCCATTCTAAGGTAAACTTCTTTTTCGCTTTCACCACCGCTTACCTTTCTTTTGTTTTCACTAAATCCACTATGTTCTTCTATTTGTGTGTGTTTACGATTATTAGGTGGCAATGTTTGTTACATTAGCAATGGTAGTGCGTAGCAAACCTCGTGTCTTGACTAAGGTTTTACCCTCTCTGAGGTTGAGGCGTATCTATAAAGGACAGGGCCAGATTCCGCTTACAGTTTGGTTGATAACTCAGGTTCGTATGTGTGTGTACTACTAGGACCAAGTCTGTTGTGTTGGAAATTTTGTGTGTTTCTGTAGTAATCTGTATAGCTGTTCTCAACTGTAAAATGTGGACAGGCCTCCAAAGATGATTTATCTGTAGGCTTGCTTTCATGGGCGCACAACTTGTTACCTCTAGTCGGCAGCAACCCCCAGTCAACTGATGTCATCCTCAAGTTGGTTGAGAAGTGAGTCGAGAAAGTTTTCCCTTTTGCTATATATATACAATCATCTCATCTTGTTTCCTTTTTCAGGATTTTGGCCAAACCAGATGATCAGGCCAGATTTGTAAAAACTCCTGTTTGGCAGGAAATGCGACTTATTCCACCTCAGTCATTTGAGATCTTGTTGCGGCTTACATTCCCTGCAAGCCTAGAGGTACGTTTTACTCTATTGCAACTTACAAAACAAAAAACCCCCTTTATGCGTCTGTCGATTCTGATCACGAGCGTGGTCTATGTGTGCACACACACAGCCTACTACAAGTAGGTTTGTGGCAATTTATCCCTTGCTGAAAAAAGTGGCTCTTGTCCGTACATCAAGAAGCCAGGCAATAGAAGAGATATTCACTTTTTCTTTGAGATTATCTGGAGAAGAAGGTATCAGTAACAACCCTGAATCCTTGTTGAGCTTTTCTGCTTCTCTCTCTCTCTCTCTCTCTTCCAAATAGAGTTCTAATCTGTTATCTTTGTTGCAGGAAATACTGTTTTAGCCGAGGAAGCTAGATCAATCGCTCTCTGGTCTCTGACCGTAAACAAGGATTGCTGGAAGCACTGGGAGAATCTCTACGATCAGAATCTAAAAGCGACTATTGCTCTTCTTAAAATACTTGTAGGGAATATCAAGTACGGTGTAAGTGAGGCAATATATCAACAGATATTCACTTTTTCTTTGAGATTAGCTGGAGAAGGTATTAGTAACAATCCAAACCTTGAATCCTTTAGTTTTCTGTTTCCCTCCCTCTCTTCTTCAAATAGAGTTCTAATAAGTTAACATTGTTGCAGAAAATCATGTTTTACCCCAGCAAGCTACCGCAATCGCTATCAGGTCTCTGACCATAATCTTTGATTGCTGGAAGCAGAGGGGCAATATCTCTGAGATGAATCTAAAAGCTTGTGTTGCTGTTCTTAAAAAGCTTGTAGAGAGATGGAAGGATCATTCCCTCGATCTATCATTATCACTGATTGATACTCTTGCAGGTTCACCAGGAAGCAAGGCATGGAAACAAATCACTCGAAAGATATTTACTATCTCTTTGAAATTAGCTGGAGAAGGTATTTTACTAACAAACCAAACCTTGAATCCTTGAGTTTTTCGCTTCCCTCGAAACATCTCCAAATAGAATTCTAATGTGTGTACAGTTACAGCAAATCCTGTTTTAGCTGAGGAAGCTACAACAATGGCTATTTGGTCTCTGACTGAAAATGTTGATTGCTGGAAAAACTGGGACAATCTCTATCAGGAGAATCTAGAAGCTAGTGTTGCTATTCTTAAAAAGCTTGTAGAAGAATGGAAGGATCATTCCCTCAAACTATTATCATCGCCGAGTGGTACTCTCACTCTTGATCAAACTATGAAGAGCTTCATGGTACAGGTAATGCTCCTTGCTCTTCTAAGCTAACTAATTTCACCCTCCTCTCAGTTGTCATTTCATCTCTGACCTAACCTGTGATGTTTTCAGAACAAAAATGCCATCACTGGAGGACGAGCCAATTGTTCTCTTTACAAAAAAGCTGACAAGTCCTGCAAAGTGATCTGGTGGAGACTATCTCGTGTAAGAAGCACCCTCAATATTGCTGTGGTTCTTCTTGCTGTTGTGTTCAAGTCCTGCAAATTGATCAGGTGGAGAAGCAATCTCACAAATATAGCCATTACTGCTGTGGTTCTAGTTGCTGTTGTGATTCTAGCGCTGGTGGTACACATGTTCTATCTTCCAAACTGGTGGCAACTGGCAACAGCCGGGCTGAAAAATATGTTGGACTCATTGGACGTCAATTATAGGAAGGGTATTAGTCTGTAATTCGTGATCTTTGAGGACTGGGAAATCGATAGGAGTAAAATGAATATATGTTTAAATTCAAAAATTTTAGTGAAGCAAATGTTATATTTTGACCTTACAAAGTCAAATTCTTTGAAAGCTTTTTGGTCAAATGAGTTGAATAATATTTTCACACCCATAAAGATGGATTCTTAACAAGAAATTGACTATAGTTGGTCAAAAGGAATTCTTTTGTTGAAGGCCAAAAGGAATTTAGCTAACAAATATATATATATATATATATATATATATATATATATATATATTTTAAATCAACCAAAAATCTCTAAAAGCGATAACACATAATCAACAGAGAATCTATAAAGCAAATCATAAAGAAAAATATGTATATAAAAAAGTAAAGATAAAACACAATTTAATCTGTGTTGCTAATCTAAAATGCTTGAGAGACAGGTCTCTTTAAGAACTCATTATTTCTGAAAAAAACTAAAAATGATTTTTCAGTTTTCTCAGACACTATATGTTCTGTCTCGTATTTCAATGTCTGAATCTGAATCATAAATTAAGATTAAAATGAGAAAACGAAGAAACAAATTATTCTCTGGAAACTCTGTACATTGTATCTCAAAAGTATGAAAATCACTTCCTACATGTATCACTGTTGTCTCTGAAGATACTGTTTTACTTTCTTCTAGACATCATCAAGCCAAGAGACTAACTGTTGAGTCGTTGGTCTCTGTTTCGGGTTTTCGCTTAAACATAAACAAGTAATCTCGAGAACCCGAAACATCTCTTTATCATTCTCTTTACTGTATATTAACGGATCGAAAACCTCGCTTGCTCGATTCTCATGCTTCATCTTGACGACCCAGGAGATCAGATCCCTGCACCCTTTTGGTTTACACATATCCACCGGTCTTTTATCGGTTAAAAGCTCGAGAAGCACAACTCCGAAACTGTAAACATCGCCTTTGTAAGTAGCAACCGAGGCTTGCCCGTATTCTGGAGGAATGTAACCTAAAGTCCCAACCAAATCCGTACTTACATGTGTCTCGTAAGGACTCATCAGCCTCGCAAGTCCGAAATCCGCTAAATGAGAGTTGAAATTCTCGTCAAGAAGAATATTGCTCGATTTAATATCGCGGTGTAAGATATGAGGATCACACCCTTCATGCAAGTAAAGTAACCCTTTTGCAGCGCCTTGAGCGATTCTAAGCCGAGTTCTCCATTTCAATAAAGCTGGACCGTCGTTACGCTCGTGTAGCCAATAGTCTAAGCTTCCGTTTTCCATATACGAATAGATCAAAAGCCGGTCATTTTTGTAGAAACAGAATCCTCGAAGAAGAACAAGGTTCGGATGCTGTGCTCTTGAGAGTGTTTCAACCTCTGCTTCGAATTCTCTTTCGATCTGACCACAATCTCCGGATAACTTCTTGATCGCAACTTTCTTTCCATCTGGTAAGGTTGCTTTGTAAACCATACCAAACCCGCCACAGCCAATGATGTTAGCTTGATCAAAACTGTTAGTTGAGTCCAAAAGATCATCATAGGAGAGCTCTTTATCATTGTTCTGAAACAAAACCACAAGCTTAGATCCAATCTCTCCGAGTTCTTTGCGATTCATGCTCTCGGATTCTTCTATCTCCGGATCAACTTCCCCTGACCGTCTACGAGCACGCAACACAATCAACAAGAGAAGAGTGAGAAGGAAAACCGAACCAAACGCGATCCCAATCGCCATTCCAATGTCAGCTCCTTTGCTTCTTCTTGACCGTTTGATCAACGTTCTGTCAGAACCACCATCCATACTACCTTCAGAACAGGGGAACCTGTGTTCCCCACAGAGACTGTTACTCTCGAAGCTCGAGTTTGGAAATGTCTGAAACTGACCACCAGAAGGGATTACTCCCGAGAGATTGTTATTAGCAACACTGAACTTGGACAGAAACGAGAGCGTTTGCAGAGAAGCCGGGATCGAGCCCGAAAGACGGTTATTAGACAGATCAAGAGCTTCCAAGCTCGTCATACCCGAAAGCGAGCTAGGAATGGATCCTGATAACTTATTCCATTTAAGATCAAACACATGAAGCTTCTTTAAATTACCAAACTCCTCCCAAATAGGTCCAGAGAGATTGTTATGACCGAGCTCAATCGTTGGCGGAAACCCGAATATCTGATTGTATTGCAACGCTCTCGCGCTCTCGTTCCTTTTCATGAAAAACGGGAAATCTGGTGATGGTTCATTGAATGAGATATTACGGCTAGCGAGACTCGGCAACTGAGTTAAGCTCTTGGGGATTTCTCCGGTAAACGAGTTGTTAGATAAATCCAAGTAGAACAGATCTTTGAAACTACCAATCCAGCTCGGGATAGCTCCGGTTAAACGGTTCCAAGAAAGATCCAACAACTGAAGCTCATTGCTGGAGCTTAACCAACTCGGCATTGAACCAGTAAGCTTGCAATTCGCCACAACTAGCACTTTAAGCTTCTCGAAATGAAGACTCGAATCATCGGGTAAAGCCTCTCCATGAAAATTCAATGTAAGAACCAAAGTCGTCAAGTTCTTGCAATGCTGAAGTATCCCAAGCGCAGAAGAGATATTAGCCAAACTCGAATTCGATAACGAGAAGTAAGAGAGACTCTGGAAGTTCTTGAAACTCTCTGGCACTTGTCCATGGAAGACGTTTCGCGCAAGATTAACGTTCTTTAACCGCTTACAATCCGGTAGGTTCTCAGGCAACGGCCCATTGAATCTATTAGTACCTAAATCAAGAGAGTTCAAAGCAATCATCGCCGTGCAATTCAACCGCAAAGGACCGGATAACGAGTTGTTCCTCAAGTTAAGCAGATTCAAACTCGGCGAATTCGCCAACGTTTTCGGGATTCCTCCAATGAATCCATTGGTCTGACCTAAGAAAAACTTTAACTTAGGCATTTCGTCGAACACATCAGGGATTTCACCAGAAAACAAATTCCAAGAAACATCAAGACGAACAAGACTTGAGAGATTCCTAATCTCACGACTCAACGAACCAGAGAGACGATTCTCTTGAATCCCTAAAAGATTCAAACTTTTGAGATGAAACAAATCCTCAGGGATATTACCAGTAAGATCATTCATACCAAGACAGAGATGCTCGAGAAAAACACAGTTCCCAAACCCAGAAGTGAAATTTCCGGCGAAGTAGTTCACCGCAAGTTTCACAACCCTAATTTGAGTAGAGTTATGGCAGATATGAGAAGGAAGCGACCCATTGAGTTTATTTGAAGAAAGATCAAAACTTTGCAGAGCTGGAAGATTTATACTTCTTGAGATTTCACCGGAGAGATCATTAGAGCTCAAATCAAGAGTCTGTAGATTCTTCAAGTTAAAAATCGAAAGAGGGATCGAATCTTTGAAGAAGTTCCGAGAGAGATTAAGAACTCTAATCTCATCTAGCTTCCCGAGAGATTCAGACAACTTCCCCGACAGCTTCTTGTTCCCAAGCTCCAATTTAGTGACCCTTCTTGTGTTGTTTGTATTGCAGGTGATTCCGGACCAATTACAGCAATCTGTAGAAGAAGAAGAATTGATCCAACCATCTGGTTTTGGCTCGAGATTGGCTATGAAGTCACGTAAGGCCTCGAGGTCATGTGAATGGCACGTGACGGTGGTTTGAGATTCCGAGGAACAGAAGAAGCATAGTAACTCTATGAGGACGATGACGATCACACACAAACGATTAACACGCATTTCAAGAACAGAGGAAGAAGAAGAAGAAGATATTTCTAAGAAAAGTTAAAGGAAGAAACTTTGAGAAGAAGAAGAAGAAGATATCAACAAAAACCCTTGAGAAATCTGAGAGGATACGAAATGGGTTTTCTGATTCTCACCATATTAGATGATGATCAATGAAGATGAAGCAAGAGAAGAGAGAGAAAAATGACGACTTTTGACTTCAACACGCAACAGCAAGTAGTGGGTGTTTTAATGCAGGCAAATTCTAGAGAGAGAGAGAAAGTGGAAGAGTTGTGTTTGGTCTTTTTTCTGATACAGAATAAACAGTAAAAAAAACTTTAAATAAAGAAGAAGAAGAAGAAAGAAGAAGCTGTGAATAAATATTCTTTTTTCCTAAATGACGGTCAATAATATTAATTTAACAATGATTAATATTTGTTTAAGTTTAATTAACTTGTGTTTATATTAGCCCTTTTATGGAAAATTTGTTAAAGACCCGTTATAGAATATAGACAATTCTTTTCCGTATTTTATCAATTATAATTTGAGTGCGTTTAGTCATATATGATGAAGTCTTAATCAATAATTTTGACTTAAGAAAGTCTTTCTCAATTTTTATTTTTTTGGGTCCAAATCTTACTTTGAATAATAGACTTAATAGTTTGTCTATAGCCTTGGTCCTTCAACGGATAGATAGAGGAAAATTTGGAACTATTAATGAGAAATGAGAATGATCGAACGTAGAAAATTAAATGAGAAAAAAAGTTTCTATTGAAAGTATTTGAATGTTCTTTTAAGTTTTTTTTGTGCTTTTATTTTGAAAATAGTTAAGTTTATACATTTACATTGCAAATAGCTTTTATAAATGTTTTGTAAGTATATTGCTCTTTTACATTGCAAATGGTTAATTTTTATATTAAAATTTTGTCATGGGTTAATTGAATAATAATTAAAAATGACCGGAGAAGAAGGGAGTGACCGGTTAGGTCAGCTTTGAGGATTTAAGATGAGGACAAGAGAAAAGAGAGAAGTCAAAGCACGGACGTTGACACCTTGCATCTCTCTTCTCAACTACAATTTTTTTTTTCGCAAGTTGATAATGAATGAAAATAGACCTACAAGATATTCTTTAGTTTCCGATAAAAGCTTCCGCCAAAAAATCTAGATTTTCCATATTAGTACATGTTAATGCCTTTTTTTTTTTTTTTTTATTAACAAGGTCCGATCCATAGCCAATTCCTACTACACATGATAACACGACTTACTGGAGTCGAACTCCGGTAGAAAAAGCAGAGTGAAACGGACTTAACCATTTATCTAAAGACACGTCCCCATATTACATGTTAATGCCAAAGAGGAAATTTATCAACCTAATTTATTGTTTGTTGGTGAAAAGAATTTTATCGACCTATTATGCAGC